ACCATCATCATATGTACTCTAAAACATGACACGAATGTTAACTCTCACAAGCAATTTCATAGTCACAACAACTTTAAAGGGGACAAAATTTATTCAATTTTACATGTACTGTACCTAGATTCTGCCTTGATCCAAAGTTCCAGCTTTCTCAAACAATTTAAGCTTCCGCCACAATTTTTGTCCGCCATATGCAGAACAAAAACAAATGACTGAGCCAACATGGTTCCAGAACATCGCATCTGATTGGTCAGAAAGTAAAACAATCCACGATTGGCTACTTTACGTCATGTGACTATGTGTGCAGGAGTGCCTCTAGCGACATTGGTATCAACTGCAGCAATTTCATTGGGTCTCCCTGTTCAGGGTATTACCGGCCTGTGGGGTCTAAACTATGACGTTTTTTATTTTTATTTACATTCGGCAAAAAAAGCAAGCGGCGAATCCGTTAACCAAGGAAATAAATTGGTGTGGCCTTAAAGTGATAAGATATTTACATAAGTTACATAAGTTTACATAAGATTCCTTATGTAAACTGTGCTCACTGACATGAAACTGCAATACCAAAACCTTTAAATGTAATTGTATAAAACTGCTTCACATGATAGGTACAAATTTGCCACTGTGTCAGGGAATCAACAATAGGCAATAGGCTGACCCTGTAATTGATTGTAACTAATACAGTTCAGTGAGGAAATATTTAGTCTTACATGTGACCCAACTCAATAAGAGGTGATACAGAGGAGGCAGAGAAGTGGGCCTAACACGCTACTCTGTGGAACACCATGGCTGACATCAGTGGACACAAGTCAGTACTTACCTACAGAAGTCCTCAGTGAGAGGTTTTTCACATATTCGTCCTTGAGCGCATCCAAGGCTTTCTGCATTCTCCCCCGGACTGCCTCTATATTTGTGACCTCTGACCCTATGGATGTGTTGATTTCCACTCGACCTCCGCCCTTTCCCCCCTTCTGAGACTTCTTACCTAAAAGGGTACAGTCAAAAACATGGTGGTCAAAAACATGGTGGTGAGGATAAGTTTGAAATTTCATGAGCAAGTTCTTCATTTATAAGTAGGTGCAAAGCAACATTTCACCATCAAGACTTGTTGTAGGTTTTGGAGCAACTAGTTTCAATGTAATCAAATTCAAAAGCTAGCAATATGGCAAAACCTCTGTGAATAACTTCATAAGGTTGGTGAATGATTGAATAACAAAGTTCTCTATTCAAAACTACTTGTTTAACAAGAGCGATGCTTGAATGACCATCTGTCCTGATGAAGACAGTCATCGACATTGGCTAAGTAAACAAGCGGTTGTGATAGCCTGGAATCCATCCGTTCACAGATATCCGGATGGATTCCAGGCTACAGTTGTGAATAAAGAACTTTGCTATTCAATATTGGGAAAAAGGAAAGAAAAACTCATCACCTTTCTTTGCATAGTACCTAACAGCAGTGATTTTCCCCAGGTCATGTGATCTACAGGAGAGAAGCTGATTGGCTGGTCTGCTATGATTGACAGGTTGTCTGATGATGGAGGAGGCACAGCTGACCAATGGCTGCAGCCGGATGAGGCTTCTCATCACTGACATCCTCCTAATGTGCAAAAATTTAAGATAAAAAGTTCAACATCAATCCCATACATTAGTTTCTGTTTTAAACTTTTATTTATTTATTTGCACAGCAACTTTTTAAAAACTTATCTTAAAAAAAAGAACATGTTTCAAACATCTCAGCCTAAGGACTAGGAGCGGTACTGCTGTATCTACAAGTCTTGAGGGTAAGGCTCATGTCTCATCTCCAAGTAGATCCTATGGTGTCAAGGCTGTAGGGTGGCAAATTGTAGGGCTTACGCAGGCCAGGTCCTCTGCTCCAGGGCCAACATGCCCCCCAAAAAATTATAACACAGACCCCTCAGCTAATAAGGGTCTGGCATCCAGGCTAGATACTACCTTGCAATTGCCACCGCAGGATCTGCTTGGAGATGCATGTCCACCACCAGTGTGCCCCCCTCCCCACACAACATACACATCCACCACGGCGCTGATTTCCAACCCACAGGTCTGTTTTTATCTAACACAATGAATTAACATTGTGCAAGTGTATCAATAACAACATCTGTGTACGTTCATACGAACCTTAATAATTCTTACTTCGCTGGAAAATCCCACAAACAAATGCGAGCAGACGAACGCACACACGCTCTAGGAGGGTCACATGGATAATAACCTTTCACCTCTGATTTCCGTTTCCGGGTCAGATGAATGTTTTCACTTTACAAGTTTACACGCACAGAAGGGAAATATTAGCGGTGTTCTGGGTTAGGGAAGGGGTTGTAAGGCCGGGTAGGAGTGCAGAGTTGTGGAAAGACAGCTTCTCTGTACGGAAAAATGGCGTTCGAGTTTCAGGTAAGTAGAAATTTCGTTATATCCGGGGTTTTGTATGTGTGAGAAGGGTGGGGAGGGGGGCGTTTTGTGTACCTGTCGAAATAGCTAGAATTTTTCGATAGTCATTAATCTCATGGTGTTAATCGAGCTGCCCAGACGTAGTAGAGGACAAAAAATTAGAAAAGGAATTAAAGACAATGTTTTATCGGTTTGGAACATCTTTCACTCTCTGTACCAGGCTTCAGAAGCAGCTGGTCAAGATTATATTGCCAGGGGAGTATAATTTTCTGGAGAGGCTAACTTGCTCTGTCATCCCTACATAAAATTTATAGGCAGCGAAGCTTGCAGAGAAGACAACCGAGCCGCTCCCATTAGAGAATGCCTCTCTGCTGTCTGATGCACCAGACCAGGATGGCAACAGGCTGTGGATAGGCAACCTGGACACACGGCTCACTGAGTGAGTTATAACTTATACAAATTTGTACTAGTACCTAGTACATGTATTACTAGAAATAATACAACAGGGGAGAGTGGGAGGGAGGGATGGAGAGTGAGAGAGAGGAAGAGAGAGACAGAGAGCCAGAACAGGCTGTGGATAGGCAAACTCGACACACTGCTGACTGACTGAGTGATAGTGGGGTTGTTGTTGTCCTTGCTATTACTAGTATCTCGCCAGACGTGGTCTCTAGGTGCTGGGTTTCACATAGTGTAAAAAAAAGTTTGGGTCAATGCAGGTGGCCCTGTCACGTAGGGCGCATCTTTAAAAGGTGTAAATGTTTTTTTACTCTCTATTCAAATCATTGTCTAATAGCATTGGAAGATTTAAAAATTTGTTTGTTACATTTTTCCCAGGTTCCACCTTCTGAAGCTAGTGAAGAAGTACGGCACAGTGAGGCAGCTGGACTTTCTGTTCCACAAGTCTGGGCCTCAGGAGGGGCAGCCCAGGGGGTACTGCTTCGTTAGCTACCAGACTAGAGAGGTGAGGTGTACACCATCCAGACACTCACACATTCACTCACTCACTAACAATAGCCCTGGGGGTACTGCTTTGTTAGCTACCAGACTAGGGAGGTGAGTAACAGAGATGTATGCTTGTCCATCCAGACATGCCCTCACTCACTCACTCACTCACTCACTCACTCACTCACTCACTCACTCACTCACTCACTCACTCACTCACTCACTCTCACTCACTCACTCACTCACTCACTCACTCACTCAAGTTGAGCAATGAGAATTTGCTTTCTTCCCTAGATCTAAAATAATCACAAAGAATTGTTTTAACAATATTATTGCATCACAATTTTCATACATCTGCCCCCCCCCAAAGGCCTCCTTAGAATCCTAACTAATCACCAAACAAACTACTAGTAAATTTTCTGTCTGAAATTGAAGCTATATGTAATTTGTTCTTTGCACAGATGCAATGATTGGGCCAGCTTGTCCTGAGCTTAATCAGAACCACACAGTGCAGAACCTGATGATTTGGCTGGTCTGATTGCCAATAATGTTAGCCCCCCTCTACTGTAAACAGAACCACAGTACAGGTCAGAGGTTAATAGAGGTCAGCTGTAGGGTCAGGTTCATGGTTCCCCCTGCATGTTCCATGATGGGGTGTTGTTTTGCCTCTGGGGGTTTGACACTGTGGAGGTCTGACAGCTAATAATGATGTACTAATAGCTTGCAGACTTTACAAGTTAAACCCTCTGAAACTTTCTAGTGATAAACCATCGGCCTTACTCCTTATGTTGAACATTTTGGCAACTTCACAGACTATGTCCTCTGTCAGTCAATGGTGAAATCCTGATTTGCAACAGCTCTTCAGGTTCTCAAGTATCTCAGTAGCTAAGAGGAAATGTTCGTGATTTTATTATTATTTTTTTCTCCAGGAAGCAGAGAAATGCATCCAGGCCATGAATGGGAAGATGGCCCTGTCCAAAAAACTGGTGGTCAGATGGGCACATTCACCACGGGTCAGTCAGTTTCTTTATCTTTTACCTTTTGGTAAAGGAAAGTAGTCACTGTGATGACTATTTATGTTTTAGCAGCTTTCTGTATAGCCAGTATAACTTCCCTTTGGCATAACACACTTTCCCCTTCTTCTGAAAGGGTGCTAGCAATAAGCATGTACATACGAGTTTCCTTGAAGGAAAAGAAAGTGTACTTTTTCTTTGCCGAGAAAGATTTTACTACTAGTTTGCCACTGTGTTATTATCTGTAACCAAAGCTGTTGTTTTCAGCCTCTGTCCTGGCAGAGTTCAAGTAAGAACACATTACAAAGTACAAGAGAGGACAGCAAGGAGTCAAACATAAGGTAAGACTGACTGACTGGCAGTTTTTAATCTCAACTTTATTCAGAACAACATCAAACTGTTGATACCAATGTGCAATGTACTAGTAAAGAATAGCTGTCATACAGGTGGTAGCAAGAATGCTTGTATTTCCTTCATTCATTTACTCATCTTGTCATTGAGTGACTGTTTTTTATCCATTCATTCTTTCATTCAAATTATCAAGTACCATTTATTAATCACTTTCATTTTGTGTTTGATCGTCCACTCCTTCACTCATTCGTTCACTCTCTCTCCCCAGTAAACAGGTTAAGATCCAGGCCATCGAGGCCAAGCTGAGGATGATGGAGGAACAGAAGGATGACCTCCCCTCCTCCTCCTCCTCTTCCCGAGCTGGACCGTCCCAGCCCCGCCCTCAGGACCGGAAACGCCCGAGGCACCAGCCCTACAGCAGGGGGAACCGCGGGCGCAGGAGATGACATCATCGGGGCTGTGGTGATGTCAGCAAAACTGTACAAAATTCAAATGTGACATCATCAAGAGCTGCTTAGGGCAGGGAAGGGGCACGGGATGACATCATGAGTTATGTGGTGATGTCATCAAAACTGTACAAAATTCAAGGAAGACATCATCAAGAGTGGCTGAGGCGATGCAGATGATTTCCCCAATTCCATAGTCTTGGGTGGTGATGTCATCAAAACTGTACAAATTATGGGCTGTAATATATAATGGGTTCAGTAAAATAACAAGTAAAAGAGAATCAGATACAGCCTTCTAGGGCAAGGATAGCCTGGTAGCCATCCCTACGAGCTTTTGGTACTTCTTGTAGTGATCACCGTACAGTGCCAATGGTTTGTAGGAATGGATTCCAGGCTTTGACAAGGTGTAGGACAGGCTTTAAATTTTAATTTCTGCTAATGTTTCTTTTTCAAAATATTTGTGGTCATGACGTCACTACTGTAACTCATTTGAAAAACACCAGGGATGTAGCTATAAACTAATAGAACTATTCCATAGTACCATACGTTTATTTACTGTGTTTGTCTATGTTCCAGCTTTTACATGTGACATCCCTGTTGTTGATGATGTAAATAAACATCTTTTACATTCAGTAACTCCACATTGGTGTGTATTAACTATTACTATGATTAATATATCAATAGATGGAGCTAAGCAATCACTGATATGACAGGGTACTGATGGTCAAATAGTAAGGGCAGGTTACTCACGGTCATGGGGTTACTCTGGGGCAGTCAGACCCTGGCCTGGTTACAGCCAACTGATAACATGCCTTATGTGTACATTTCACAAATAAGCACAAACAGTAAGGAATGTAGTATCTCATAACTGTTTACCACTCCTCGCATCACTGCGGTTTGGATAACTTTTTGGATTTCTTACATTTTTTGCCTTTGCCTGTCTTGTTTGTTTAAACCATGGAGTTACTTGTTGCAACTGATGCAAAACTGCTATTCCGAGCCACTTGTTCCCCAAACATAACTTACACCAAAGAACTTATTTATCGTACTGATCATTTCGAACTTCAAGATAATAGAGTGTCATTTTCCAAATTTCAAAAGAAAAAATACAGCAAACTTTTAAATATCGCAGAAAAAATTATTTCTCTTCATATGCCCGCACTATATGGTGGCATTCATCTCAGACACATAAAGATTGAAAGGTAATGCTAACATGCTATGTCATTATGTTAATCCTTTGCTTGATTGAAAGAGGACAGTGCATGTTTTTTAGCCTATACTTGACTGCCGCAGGCGGTCGGAGGAAGTCTTAAGTAGCACAAACAGACGGGCGGCACATGAGCGACCACGCGAGACGCCTGTTACATCAGGAACATTGCTTCATCTCCAAAAAATGCTCAGGAACGATTTTCGAAGGTTCACACGCGTATCCAGAACCGTGCCTGGGGCACGCGGAGACTATCCAGCACAATACCTGATCCTAACCCATTCAGGCATACGATTAGATTGGCCAAGAAGCGTCATACAACCTCCTTGGATTGGCACTGTTCTGGATACAATAGACATACCAACCTATCTCCAAGCAGTCATCTTTTGGTAGCTGCAAAAACAGAATGGAAATGGTCAGGCTGTATCCATTATTGGCCAGACACTTCGGTAGCGAAATTCAGCTTGGCCGATTCTGTCCTTGCAGCCACCAATAGATCTGCTTGGTATGGAGATTAAGACCGACTGACGGTACACAAAAACCTGTTAGCCTCTACCAGGCTTCCGTCGGGAGGCGGCTGGAAAGAGTAGAAATCGGCCAAATAGAGATATAGCATGTCAGAGGACTCGGGAGCGGCAAACCGTTCTCTCCCAACTCCCCCGGCATGCTATCTCTCTATTTGGTCGATTTCTACTCTTTCCAACCGCCTCCCGAAGCCTGGTAGAGGCTACGGACCTGTGGCACATGTGCGCCCACGAGAGCCCGACCACGTGCCGCATGCATGACCACGGGACCCGTCACACCAACCAGGGCGCCCGGGGCTAAGGGACAAACATTTACATAACCGGCAGAACAAAACAGCCGCTCAGCTGCAGGCAGATAGACAGGTACTAGGTGCTTTTCGTCGAACCCCAGTGTGCAAGAGTTGCAGCCAGATCTTAGACCTGTGAACAACGTCTCTTTAAGAATCTGCTGCTAGCTACTTAAAGTTCTCTTGTAGCAGCCATGTCTTCTCCTGTGAGCAAAAACGCCTCCGTCCTGATGAAGTCGCTGAGAGAAAACTTCCCTACGTACCACAAGTACGAGGCGGTCGGACAGGTAAGCTTAAGCTTGTGATTTGTTTGTTTCGTTTTTGATCCACTGTGCTCTTGTGCTGGTTGGTTCATAAAGAATAAGTTCTTCTACTCCAACAAGCAAGACGGAGTGTTTTTAGACTTTGCAACGATCTAGAAATTGTAAGATCTTTCCTTTTCTAATCCCGATCATAGACAATAGACGGTATAAAAGTATAAGTACAAAGCAGTCCGGATCCTCTCATTGTGTGGAAAATTCGACAGAGGTTCACTGCTCTTTAGTTGCTGGCAATCCCTGGCAGAAAGCACCTTCAATTTCTCTTTTAATTTCAAAAACATGCTTGATTTGAAAACTGCCATCTTTCGAAAGCACTTCATTTTGGGTATCCATCCTTTTTTATAAAACGATTGGCATGTCTGCCTTGTAATATATAGTGTCGGAGATGTAAAAAAAACGCAATGGTCTTTCTTTCCAATACTCAAGGGGAATAGACTAACAGGTGGCACAATTTACACCTGAATAAGCCAAATTAGTAGCCGGTACATAACAAAAACGTCTTGAGTGCATAATTATCAACAGACACATAATTCAACCACCAAATTCAACCCATCACCTCATTACTTAATAGACTATAGTGCTAGTGCTAGCTTGATCTGTACTTAACCAAATGGGCATGTACATGTATGTACAATAAGACAGTGGTCTTCATTCAATCAATTGACAAAGTCTTTTGGAGCCCGCAAAACTGATCTAAACTTTTTTTTTAAAATATGTAACATGTTTTTTCCCTTCAAGTCCCCAACTTTCTCCTGCTGTGTGTTTTCAGATAAGAATTCGGGGCAAAAATATTTGTCCAGCCTTCTAACAAGGCAAGTTATTTACGGGTTTATTGCGCCAGGGGCAGCACATGTCCAGACCTCCGCCGGGGTACACTGTAAACGTTATTTATTGATATGGGGGTTAAGTGCCTTTCTGTGTGACGGTTTTACGAGCAAATTTCAATAATGATCCTCTGGTCCGTACGGAAACAAGCGTTGAACAAACGCAGTTACGACTGACTTCATACTGTGACGGAAATCTAAATTCGGTCTGCCACAATAAAAGTTAAAGCTAGGTGAACAACATTGTTTCATTGGTCTTCAAGATTTGCAAATGCAACGGAAAACGATGTCATATCTCTGATAACCAATAGCCCCCACCAGACCTTGGATTTTTTAGTATGACTGGGAAGGGGCAAGGGTGGCAGTATTCGCGAATTCGGAAAAAATAGAGTCTGACTGGCCAGGTCCACCGCAACGGTTTCATTTTCCTCCCAAGCAACTGAATGTATTTGGCTAAACCAAGGAGGTTCCCTGGAACCTCTTTGGCTAAACGTAACAACAGTTTTTGAATCCCCGTTGCTAGTCTGATGGTAGCCTGCGTTCCAGACCCATAGCACACTGAACACAAAGTGAGATATGTTGTGTCCAGTGTGCTATGGGTCTGGAACCCAGGATCAACCTCAACCGTCCTACTGGTCAGGAACGGAAGTCTGAAGAGACAGGTGGCTCAAACGTGTGACTAGCAGAAAAACAACCGCTTTGTTTCCTCTGACAGGTTAGACAAAAGAAAATTTTGAATTGACCTATGCCCTCAGGACAGCGCCAGTGCACGACAAAAGAAGCTGTAATTATGTATGTAGATTTCTAGCCTTGTCATCAAAGTTGGGTCCGTTGTGACGTAAATGTTAATTTTTCCGGTGGGAAATATAATACAGTCTGGCCTACTTGGAGCGACCTCATTTTTTACATGGCTGGTTTGGGACAATGACATAACGTCTGCTTAAGACTGTTAAATTGCTTTCTGAGACCATTAGTACTCTTAATAAGTAATGAACGGGTCAAATATGCCCCAAAGGTCCACTTTGCGCTTCTGACAATGTAAGAAGCAAGTGTATTAAAGAGCGATTTCGCCCTGATAACATTTCTGTATCAGACAGCTTAGCCACAAGAAAACAAATGAAAGGATTTTGAAACAAAATGGTGCAACGAAACGACGACGCTCTCCGAATCCAAGTTGTATTTGACAGTCTGTCCTGAGCCAAATGAGGTTACTCAATTCACTAATTTCAACACTGTTTCTTCCTCTTTGAAAAGCGTTTTTGATAGTAACATTGTTGCGTTTCCAGTGTGAACTTTGTTAATGACTTCGTTAATTTTTCTAGGGCATAAACGCCTATGGCCATGCTTTTTTTTCTAGGGCGTACTAGGGCGTTAATTTCTTTCGACCTTTAAGTTACACTGGGCCGGGACCGCTTTTTAAGTGTTCAAAGGGGAGGTCAGGGGCCCATAAGCACATATTGAAAAGTACAAAATTATATAACACTCAATAAACAGTACATTTCAAACTTACTGCATCGTCTCTTATCCATATGTCTAGTCTTGATCAATTCCGAAGTGGCTTATTGTTCAAAATTTTCAATGATGACATTCTCCATTTTTTCAAGGCTTATCGATTGATGATAATGTTGTTATTTTCCATTGCATACCCAATGACGGTTACTAGTATGTAGCCAATTTCCCAGTCCTAGAGCGTACCCATTCATACTTATATTGTCCATGTTTCCAGGGTGTCCCCCTCGATGATGGTGATGATGATGAGTTCCATGAGTACGAGCCGGGCCGAGCCGTCAGCTCTCCTCTCACCGGGCAAAGCATCACGGGAAACACCAGTCCCAGGGGCTTCTGGAAGAACTTCAGCTTCGCCGACAAGATCAAGAGAGCGAGTAAGTATCTTATCCAGAACCGTGCATGTCTAGCTCAATATCTGTACCAGAATCGGAGTTAAGGTTACGATCAGGCATGGATAGTTTTCGAGTAGTAGAACACAGATTTGCCCCTGAGTGAGGCATGGTTCGGAATATCGTGGATTATTTAGAACGTAACAGCGGCTATCTAGACTTCCATGTCCGAATGGGTTTAATAGGATCAGACACAGTTCTGGATAGTCTACGCGTATCCAAGAACGTAGATTTGCACCATGCCAGGCACGGCTCTGGATACGCATGGCTGCCACTATATCCTCGATCGGATTAATAGCCCGAAGAACATTCAAATAATTTTTCCTTTAGATCACTCAAAAGTATAGCAACAACTCAGTTGTTTGTTTGTCTTGTTTTGCAGAGAGACGGTCGGGATCGGACAGCCTTTAACCGGCCCATGTAGCTGTCAAGACAGAGGGGCGCTGTTTACTGCTGAACCGGAGACTACACAGATATCAACGACTTTGGGGCTCTTCCGCAGTGCGCAGTGTTATTGAAAGACAGTGTACATATTCATCTGGGCAAACTTAGATAGAACTGGAACTCGGGATGATCCGGTCACTGGTTAATAGAATTTTTCCCCTTAAAGATGCACTTAATGTGCATGATCTGTTGTTGTTGTGCATACATGGCTTAGGATATCAGGCTAGACCAGATATCATGTGGTGCAATGATGTGAACCATTTAACTCTATATACTGAGGATATAACATGTCAGTAGAGGAAGGAGTACTGAGGCATATTACGTTTTTTGTAAAGACTGGACTGTTACTGTTACAATTTATCTCTTAAAGACTAGAATTTGAGGATAGGGAGAGCAAAAGGAAGGAAGGAAGGAAGGAAGAAAAGAAGAATCCAAGGAGAAAAGGAAGCAGAGGAGGTTTCATCTTTGCTTAACACTGATCTTCAATTTCATTGAGTGTCTATATACATGTATTTGTGTGTGTTGTTCTGATGTGAAAATAAAGGGAATTTTGTGTACAATGACAAGGAGTTCTCAAAAGTGTTCAATTTCAAGTGGAGAAGTTTGATAGGTTCAAGATTTATTTGTGCTCAGCACTAAATTCTTAAAACATTCCTCTGTACATTGTTGTAACTTATACAATTTCATCATCACCACATCACCTTAATTATAAGGCACTTCATGCTACCAGCAACTACTCTACAAGCAGAGCTTTAAGCTTCGGCATATTTTTTGCCTGTTTTAGACATTGCAAATATCTAATAGTTGAATGGCAAATACAAGGTGTGATTGTACCATGCAAATGTGGCAAGAAAAAGCATTATGCACCTGCAGTACATAGTAGTGCAATACAAAAGCAGTCAGAGGGTCAAAACCTCCACCAGGGCAGAATACAGCTCCATTATACAATTGATAGGGCTATTCTAAACATTTCCATACACATAGTTACTTAATATCTACTTGTGCTTCAAATCAAGGTCTACTTTCCACCAAAAACCACCCACAATAGGAGAAACAAGCTAAAGATTAACATTTTGTGTAATTCTGTTCAACAGAAAAGTACTAAAGCTGGTGAAAAATTGACATCCTTGCACTGATTATAATGAACAAAATGAGAACATTCGTTACAGCTTTCCCAACTTGACAGACTGTTATAACACTGACAACTTGACCTCAGATTCCCTATGACCTGACGCGACCCTTGACCTTTGCCCCTAGATGCGGCCCTTGTTCTCCAGCTCCTTCACCAGTTTCTGCTGGTACTCCTTATGCTTCTTCTGTAGTTCCTCGTCGTGTCGGCAGGACTTGGCCCAGTAGGTCAGCCCCAGGGCAGGTCGCCAACGGGTAGGAGAACTGGGGAAGGGGAGGGCAAAGTTTTACTTTAATTCGTGAATAATTTTATCAGGTTGGCAAGAGACTGAATACGAAGGTTCTTTTTTCATCAACCAATGGATTTTTGGAACCTCATGTATTTGACTTAAAAAACAGAAGCTGATGTGATGTGGCTGCATGTCACAGTCATCAGGACTAGTCAAAACCATCAAACAAGGAATGGTGAAACCACTATCTTTGGCAACAAAGAACTACCAATACATGCAACGTAAATTTACCAAAGACACACCTGCTAGATGCTAGTACCCAGATAACACTTGAAACAAAATGAACATTTTTAATACAGTTGGTAAAGTATATCCTCACCTGTTCTTCCCAGCCCTGTGTACAGTGTAGGGATGGTGACCTAGCAGGGAACCTGGGAGAATAAAAACATTTAAAGAAAATCAAATATGATGGTTTCTAAGTTTGCTACATTCTTCTATACTCCAGCCTTTATTTGAGACATCAGATGCATAACAAATTAGTACATACTTTGACTTGAATAACTGGTGAATTATAAGGAAACTGCTATTTCATGTGTGTGCCAAGACAGAAGCTAGAAAGCAACAGAAAGTCCGACACCCTAACAAGACCACCAGAGCTGCAGACAAGAAATGCATGAAGCCACTAAACATGGAGAGAGAAGAAATTCCTGGTCAGTGACTTGTAGAATATTTCACCTTTCTTGGCAGCCATGCACACTTCCTTCTCTGCCATGCTAGTGTTTCCTGTGTAGGTGGTCAAAACAATTTACAAAATTTCATTGGGCAATCTACAGATGTATTAAATATATGTCAATGAAGGGTAGACATCCAGGTAATGAGATTGGTGTAACATATTACCCATCACAGCCAAGTGGCCTCAAAAGTTAGTGCATGAAAGCTCCCCCATGAGGTTAGTGATGGTACTACATACATATATATACAGTACAGTACAGAAGCCCCCCTACCTTTCTTGGCGGACATGCAGGCCTCTTTCTCCTGCATCTTGGCACTGTACCCGGCCCTGCCTAGTGACTAGCTCCCCATAGAGATGAGGAATAGTACGGTACAGTACTATACTATACAGTACAATAGTACTACATACAGTACAGTACAGAAGCCCCCCCTACCTTTCTTAGCGGACATGCAGGCCTCCTTCTCCTGCATCTCAGCGCTGTAGTCGGCCAGACCCTGGCTGAACCCCAGCGCAGTGGACTTCTCGTGCTGAAGCTCCCCCATGAGGTGTGTCCCGGGAACGTAGTACAGGCAGCCATTCTCCTCATCTGCATCGTCCAGGGCCAACCAGAACGTGATTCCTGGGGGGAAAAACAAATGAGTTACCGTCAATACCATTGTCTTCGTTATTTTACAAATCTGTCTTGTTTGAATGAAAACTCATCTATATGTTGGTAGAATCCATATTAATATATATAATAAGTTGTAAATTTGAGCATAGTTCCAACACAAAAGGAGCACTCAGTCACCATGAATTTTCCGTCGATCCCTTCAACCTTCGTTAGATGCATGTTTGAGTCACTACACTGGCTTTCCGTAATTCGAAAGCTTATTCACGTCAGTTGTGAATCAAAGGTGACTGGAAGACAGAATCTTCTATACCATCACTGTTCAGAGTGTTGATGGGCCCCTAGCTTCTCCTGAGGCATTGTATATCAGGGTGAATCAACCCTCTCTGAACCATGATAGACTTAATGATACAGACTCAGACATACCTTTGTCATGCATGAAGTACTTGCCATCCTGGTGAGGAGGTGTGGGTTTGGCCCCTGGCGGTTTGGAGAAGAACTGCACGTTGTTGGGCTCCATGTCCTCCCCCAGCAGTAAGTCAGCCAGTCCGTTAAAGGCAGGGGAAAGGCCCAGGTCCTGGGGGAGGGGGTTATAGGGATTGAGTGTGAAGTGTCCTTTCATATACATGTACTAGTGATACATGTACTAGTGATACAGAGGCCTAGAAAGGTCACATTTTCAAAGTAAATGCATAATGCTTTCCTTTACATGGTCTAGCCTAACAAACTACTGCACTGTTCATTCTTACTCAAACACATTTATATACAACTTAACAAGTACTTGGTGACAACTCCCTCAACTTTGTCCTATGACTTGCTACATAATGTAACCCAGCACCACAGGGTATCTGCTACAGCTGTCTGGTCTAGGTCATTGACCCGATGTGTTTGCAGAAACCCTAGGAGCCAGACTAGTATCAGGCTGTTCGCCGGTTTCCTTTGGCATCCAAGAGCCCTACGCCCACCTATCTACATCACTGCTAAGGGTGAGATCGAGGGGAGTTGGCCAGCCAAGTACCCGATACTAGTCTGGTTTCCTGCGTAGTTTGGTAATAATAATCATTAACCCCTCACCTTGAAGAAGTCATCGTTAGTCTGCATCCTCTCCAGGCGGATGATGGTGTCGGGATTGTCCTTCTCCTCGTAGAACACGTCCTTGTTGGAGATGTTTGGCACGACATCGCGCCGGTACCGCGCCAGTTCCCGGTTCAGCGCCGCCAGCTCATCCTCAGACAGGAAGTCTGGGATCTGGGAGTGGGGATAACATGTTAACATGACATTGACAATGACCTTTATTGCATACTTGAGAAAATTGCACTAAGTTACTAGGTAACTGAGGTAATCTCCAAGCAGATCATACAGCAATACAGTATCCACTAGCCAGAGGAGTAGCCACAGAAGTTACTCAAGAAGACTGTCGAGTTCTCAAAATAGTTATCTAGTTGCTTGAGTAACAGTTTATTGTTCAAGAGTATGTTTTAGCAAACCTCCTTGGTTTTAGGTGTTGTTCAAGAGAACCTAACGTTTCATGTTGTAAGATATGTTGGCTCCATGTTTAAAAAAGACAAGACACCCATCCCACTTACAGGTATACCAAATTCTAGGAAATTTTAGAGCTTATCACCAGACTGTTACAAGGCATCGCGTGACTTCTGTCGGCATCTTTGTCACAAAAGGAAAACGTCAACACGGTTTCATGACGTTTCGCCCCTAGGACGTTTCGCCCCCAGGTCGTTTCGCCCCCAGGACGTTTCGCCCCCAGTGAAGCTATATATAGTGAATATATAGTGAAGCTATATATAGTGAATATATAGTGAAGCTATATATAGTGAATATATAGTGAAGCTATAATATATATAATAAATATATATATAGTGAATTTATAGTGAAGCTATAAACTGTGTTTCCTCATGCTATATTTTATGAAAAATGGAGGTATTGTTTTTGGTGCGTCTGTCTGTCTATGTGTGTTTCCACAAATTTGTAGTCAGCATAACTTCAGAACGCCTTCATGGATTGTGATGATGTTTGGTATGTTGGCAGGTCTTAAGAAGACAAAGGTCAAGGTCAAATATGGGCCTCCTTGGTACTGCAGCACAACGTCCGGTTTTTGTACCTTTTGCAATCATGGGCATGCTATGGTCTTGGCTTTTTGGTGACTGATAGCTTTTCCTGCCAGTAATTTTTGTTCCCCCTAGCAGCTTGTTCTGGAACTGCAGGAAGGTTTCTGAGCAGATAAATTCACAAAGTATTTTTATGATTTTTTTATATGTAGGTAGCTTAGACAGAGATCTACCTTATTGAATGCAAATTATGCAATGGGGAAATTATACATCGTCTAGAATCAGACTGGGATAATATTGTATGTCCCGTAGCCAATCGATATCAAAGTTCGTCCTGGGGGCGAAACGTCCTGGGGGCGAAACGACCTGGGGGCGAAACGTCCAAGGGGCGAAACGACCTGTTACCCGTCAACACTACAACAGCTGCCCTATCGATTGGTCCCAAACCCGGAAGTAAAAAATGTTGCTGACTGCGCCACAGCTGACCGCGTCGTTTTCTAGGTCATTTTCATCGTTTCATCGTTCATTTTCATCGTTTCTAGGTCATTTTCATCGTTTCATCGTTTTCCACGTAAATATCTGTTCTCCCACTCACCTTTATGTACCCAGTCTCCTTAAAGAAGGTCTTGACTTCGTCCTGGTCCATCCTGTGCGTGAATTTGGGCCAGGTGGACACCAGACCTTCGCCTGTCCGAGCTTTTTTCGACACGGGCTCGTCGGAAGTCGACGGATCGGCGGCCATCTTGTTTGTGTGGACAGGTGGATTGTACCATTCGGTTGCGGGGGTGATGATGTTCTAGTTCACAATTTAGAACGACACATGGCGGTTAATAACATACTGCAGTTGTCAAATTTGATTTTGATTTGATTTGATGTATTCAAATCAGGACCTCATTTGCAAAATTTTGATCACATATTTGCAAGATCCAGTGCTTTTCTTTACAATAGTTGCTTATTAAATACCTAAATACAGGAAAATTTGCACCTTCCGACACGGTGATGTTTGTTCAAAGCCTCTCCCATGTCAGAGGTGACATTTTGACATTTGCATGGCGGAACCTCATGTTGCTACATGTGTAGATAGCGATCTCTAAGTTTGCTGACCAACCTGTGCCTCACAGGTGGGTATATATTCACCGTACAGACTCTAAATCTCTGAAAGGTTTGCCAGACTACGTAGCCACACGTTATTTTTTCATTATCATAGGTAAACTGTTTGAAAACGATTTTAGTGACAGAAGCTTCCCCCCTAGCTGAATATCACTTCTTCTGAGTTTCAACAATCTCACCTTGTAAGGCTCAAGTATCATATTTGTAATCTTACCTTGTAGAGCGTCAATGGGTATCCTCGGGACGTACAAAGTGATCGCTGGAATTCTATTTGTCTCTGATTCTTCCTTTGAAATCCTTTCAAGAACACAGGAAATGCCATTTCAGAAGGTTCAATGTTCAAAATTTTTTGCGGGCTGGCTAGAGTATGCCCCCAGCCACTAGGAAGCTCGCGCCTTTGGCGCTCGCTGGTCCCTCGGAAAGTAGGAAGAACCCCACCTCCCCCAAACCAAAATCCTGGCTACGGACATGAAAATGACTAAAATTTTGTTCAGAAATTTGTTTATGTTTAGCGTGTCCGTGTCAAAGTACATCATGCCTGAGCGATCACAATTAGCACCCGCCTCGCCATAGAAAACAGGTTAGACAAGATTACCTTCGCCAAGGTTATGTTTTCAGAGGCGTTCGTGTGTGTGTGTGTCTGTCTGTCTGCATGTGTGTCTGTAAACACTATAAATGGATTGTCTTGGTACTTGGTAAGTGGGTAGGTCTTGATGAGACCTGGAAATGATTAGATTTTGGACCCCCTGGCGGCTTGTTATGGTATTGCATCTAAACTTTCGGTTTTGATATCTCATGATCTAGACGAAATTTGGATGATAGGTAGCTCTTGTGCTGGGCAAGAAGTGACGTGAGTTTGGGCCGCCTGGCGGCTTGCTCTGGAACTGCAGGGCTATCTGTTTGAAAAAAAAAATTAAAAGAGGATAACTCAAGAACCGGTTGACGGATCGTCATGATTTTTGGTGTATAGGTAGTTTATGTGACGCTTGATATAAATATTTGACAATTATGCAAATATGGATGTAATTTGCATAATTTATGGGGAAATTCCGTACCCCCGTAGAAAAGCCTGGTGGAGGCTTGTAAGATCTCCCCGTTAATATTTTCCATAGTTTACAAAAGAGAAGTCAAACCCTTAAGACATACGGTTTTAGACATAGCTGTAGTTTTAGACAATATTGTATTACCTTTTACTTTGTGGAGTTATTTTGTACTCTGTTTCTTTGTTCATTTATCCTTGTCATTTTCACTTAGCCTTCAGCCAGGAATTTGCAACAATATATGGCCATATATTAACGATGGCACACCCACTGACTAGGTGCAACACATGGCGGAAACGGAAGTGACGAGGCGACGCTATGACTACCGTGACGCGGATTTGCGCCCAGCGGCGGTCAGCAGAAGACTGACCAGCTTCATACTTTCTACAGTCATGTTCACGGCGACGTACTTTCTACTGGTGAAGCTGTGGGGGTACGTAACAAATACATCTGCTGAATCGCCAAAAAACAGTCGAAAGCAACCGGATTTTTTTTTTTTTTCAAAAATCATATCCAACTTTCAAGTGAACTTTATTTGTTCAACCGGGTATCACACTCAGGCCACTCTGGCCTGTTTTTCAGGAAATCCTGGTACAAAAGCACAGACAAACACCTAACAAGTTACTTGCGTAACTGTTTTCTGGCGTATCTTATTACCTGAATGTCTAACCTTCACTGACGTATCTGTAGAACCGTTTGGACGTATCGTTAAAATTTTTAATACAAACGTGATAGTGAGTTAAGCAGTTAATGATGATGATGATGATAGTGAGTTTAAGCCATATGGATTACATTCCAGCGCGCATGAATTCTCGGCCGTTTCCAAAAAAAAAAATTCAGCCACACTGTAAATTGTACAGAACAGTTGCAAAATGAGCAAATATATACCGTAAGTTGAAAAAAAACATTGGAAAATGATACCAATGTCGTAGAATACCAAAACCAAATGAAAAAGACGAAAATGTAAAGAAATGAATTTGTAGATTAGATTATTCGCCAAACTATGATGTATTACAAAAGCTAAATGTTAACTCCTATACAAATGTCTCAAGAGAGAAGAGACACGTGCAGCTTAGATATAGATAGATATAGCATAGTTTTCCCTCCATGGGTTTCCCCATCCTTATTTGTAACTAAAGTGGTGCACTCAGCTCCACTGGGGCATTAATCTGCAATAAACTTCATTGTCATTGTCATTATATCCAAGGACATGATATAGAGTAACGTCTTTGCTTCATCATCCTATTATTAGGGGCTCGTTACAGGCAATGCCGCAATTTCCAATGTACCGGAAGGGCAACGGAACAGGGATCCGGAATCAGGAGGGCAACAGCACTGGAATCCGGAATTCTTGGCCCACCCTGCACTTCGGCTCCCTGGCGCCTGATCCGGTGTGGCAGTTTAGACCTGAGGCCATGGCGAGAGTCAGGTTTGTCAAGTTTCCCTGCTAATGATTCTCATTGGCACCGGTCTTGTAAAATCAGTCAGGGAGCCATATTTTTCGTGAAAAATACCATCTTATCTAAATGACAGTTATCTTTGGAACATGAACCGCTGATCTCAGTCACAAACCGTTATGTTCATCAATTTCAAGACAGATGCTACCATACTTCTCACATGTACAATGTCACATATTTCATGTATCTTTCAGACCATGGACAAAGATACTGCATATCCTGCATTAACATTGATCACAATGTTTTGTTCAGTCAAGGAACTTTCATTAAATTTCTATTGAAAGCTTTCTATTATAACGGATGAAAAAAGTCACAATGTCACAGTCTTAATCTTTCAGAAACTCCACGGGGAAACTGCACCCGTCCGTCTATCTGGTAAAGAGCACTAAAAGGTTGCCAAAACTGGCTCAGTACGAAACAGTAAAGTATACAGGAGAAGGAGAAACGCGTGAGACTGAAGCCCACTGCCGGACGGACCAAAGCGGGACCATCGGGCACTACAACACCTGCGCTGTGGTCGGCAACAGCGGCGTGTTGCTGGGCAGCCACTGTGGGAACGAGATCGACTCAAAAGAGTACGTCATCAGGATGGACATCCCGGTTGTCAGGGGTTACGAGAATGACGTCGGCAGACGGACCAGCATGACGATATTAAACATGGGCACGCCCCAACGGATACGGAGCTCGGCAAGTTTATGCTTATGTTTATGATTATTAGGAACTCTATGAGTAACAAGAAAGGCCGACATTTGCTCAAGAGCAAATACAGCACATTTCACCCATTTTTCTTTCCCATTCACGAGTTTCCCATCCCCAGAATGTATTGCGAAAACAGGGGTCTAAACCTCATTTGCATAGTACAGGAATCAGAATGATCCTGTTGACGTTAAACAGCTTGTTTTCCAGTGTGTTTTGAGGTGTTGGGGCATTTTATGCTCAAGGTTAATTAAATTACTATGGGTTGAATCTGACAACAAATAGAGAATGAATTTTTTGGAATGAATTGTAACGTTATAGTGGTAACGCTATACCGATGCTGTAACGTCACACGTTCCATGTTGAAAAGAACACAAAAACTTCATTCTCTATTTGTTGTCAGATTGGACCCATAGTAATTTGATTAATGTTGAGCATAAAATGCCCCAACACCTCAAAACACAGTGAAAAGCAAGCTTCTTGGCGAAGGTAATAACTGCAAAGAAACACAACTTGATACTAATGACTAAATGAATGGCAAACCTGTCCGGACTCCTGGTTACAGTCGAAGTTGAAGAATAGAACCCAGGACGTGTACGAGAGTCGACTGAGGAATATTGACGGGACGACGCTGGTCGTGCATGAAAGTACAAGACGTAAAGTCATCAGAGTGGCCAGAAAGTACCGCGTCACTTTCTCCTTATACTCCATCAAGGGAAGATTAAAACGGGGGATCAACCCGTAAGTACCGGCTTCTAAAGATGATGCTCAAGATGGAAATATGGCAATCAGCTGTCACTATATATATATATATATATATGGTATCTGGCATCTGTTGTGTTGGATTACTTGATGTAGTTTTTGCATGATGTAGTTTGAGTAAGAGCAGTCATTTGTTAGGCTAGATCGTCCCCATGTGAAGGTAACTAACACTAATGTATTGCTTTGAAAATGTTATTTATGTTTACCAAAGGAAAACGTATCGTTTCTTCTTCTTCTTCCGTTCCAAACAAATAAGGTCAATGACCTGAACCAGTCGTTTGTCACCATGGTAACTAGTGTTGGGTTATATAATGTTGCAAGGGCCATGCAGAACTGACTTCAAAAGGGGCTGCAAGGCCACTATATATACCAGTGTGTTTGAGTAACAATAGACAAAGCAGTAATTCGTTAAGCTATAGCTAGACCATGCGAAGGTGTCATCGGGATTTGCTTTGCAAATGTTACCTTTTTGAATTTTGTTCTGCTGTTTTTTTCCCGCCAGCCTCGCGTCCAGGATAGCTCACAAAAAGATGGGCGGGCCCCCAACAACCGGCATGATCACGGTTCTGATGACGACGACGTTCTGTGAGCGGCCTTACCTCTACGGCTTCTTCCCGTTCCAACGTGATGCCCGGAACACGCCCATCCCCTATCACTACTACCCGGGAGACTTCATCAAACCGATTCTACAGAACAAGGGCGGGCATCACCACATGGGGAGGGAATACGACTTCCTTAGAGACTTACATAAACAGGGCGTGCTGAAGATGCAAGTCGGTACTTGTGGGAAGAATTAAGCACGTTTATAGCGCTCTATTTGGGAGTCTATAAAAAGTGTTAGGTGTAACCAGTCATTCGGTGTAATGAGCCAGCTGCCGCGACGTGCCTGCGAAGCTGGTGTGTTACGCCGAAGGGCGGTTATACCGGCTATACAGATACAGAAGCTGGTGTGTTACGCCGAAGGGCGGTTATACCGGCTATACAGATGCAGCTACAGTTTAGATTTAGTCAAGTGTACGTCTCATAATTATAAACTGCTCGGTAAATGCTTTACAGCAATCCTTTTTCATACAATGAAAGGGCAGACGAAAGGATAGAGACAAAGTGACTGCAAACTCAAGTTTAGCACATTTTATTCTCGCAGCTACTTTTATAATGATAAAAATAAAGGTATTTCACAAGACGTTATATGAAGTCGATCACTGTGAATGGATCACAGCAAACCTGAATAAATCATGAGAACGTCAGATTGTTATGAATGTGTGAAGGAATCAGTAAATCAGCTGATAGAATCAGACAGTTATCTCCAAACAGATCCTAGTGTGTCAAAAGACAGTATCAAATTGGCCAGGCAGTATCCATTGGCCAGAGAGGGTCCATATCATATGCCACCCAATTGGTAGCCTGTACCAGCTCTGAAAACCAATCACAACCAATTAATCAAGGCGAAGAAGCGTTATTACTTCCTTATTACGGCAAAACGAAGCAGTTGACTCTTTATCAGAGTTGATGCCAGTATTGACCGTTTGACAGATACGGTATCTTGAGCACGGGTAATATCCGTGTTTACTTGTGTTGGCTATAAGAACAATGACAGATTAGATAGCTGCGGAGTTGAATAGTATAACGCAATGAAGGAGGAAATCAGAGAAAAGCCGTGGGTACAAGGCACCTGTCAACTGTGAACTATCATGTAATAAAAGCATTTATCAATACCAGCACACTAATGCGCGATAACAAAAAGCACAGATAGCGTCAGAAATATGCAGTTTTGTGAGGTATTAATACCGAACTGATAAGAAAAAAAGTCGAGTCAACGATACCACACTTACTGGTTGGGCTGATATCCGAAATGAAAGTATTACGAGAGCCAAACTTTATGGCAACCAAGGAGAATTAGCCTCGATGGTAAGTCATTCGACGACAAAAATTTAGACATAATAGGACGAAAAACATTGGGGACACCACGAGTTGTGAAATGCAGTTATGATCGTTGGGAAGCTCAGTCAATCATGTACAAGGAGAGGGCAACACGGTAACCAGTGTTGTCAATTCATCATTTCGGATTTAATAACGTTCAAATGATAAAGTAACGATCCGTCAGGGCCATTTCCTCACCAGAGTAAACAACACCCTGGAATCCACACCATGCGGTGCAAACACGACGCATTCATCCACTATCTTACGCTGTGCAGTATCTTTTATGACATCCGATCGAACTTCACAGCAAAAGTATAAAAGCGGCAAAGAAAAGGCTTCAGCTACAGTTGCCGTCTGGCAGTCTGAAGAGTACTGTACTCCACAGTGAAGCTGAGCGAAGATGCGTTTTCTCGTCTCCTCCGTGGTCCTGCTCTTGTTGAGCACAGCCGCCCGTGCCTGGCTGTATGACACGACTTCCGTCGACTGTCTCCAGTCAGAGTGGAGTGAGTGGATGAAGGTAAGACTTAGTAGTTTCTAATTCTAATGATTGGAAGATCTTGAGACCTTTCGTTTTCATCTTAAGATTTTCTAAGCCTTTTGACCCTGCATATCCGAGCGTAGGCATATGCAATTCAAGACATTCCTCCATTTGGCTCTTCTGAAAATGATAATGCCTTCCAGCAACTTCATTGTGCATATCACGTTCTAGGTGGGCTACAACACCCGCCTGCGTTCCAGGGTGATCCTACGTCATCCGTCAAACGGCGGGACGGCTTGTGGTCCAAACGAAGAAACGGAGCAGCTGCCTGCAGGTAAGAGCACAACAACGACTACACTTCCATTGATGAGTGCAGATAACTCTGAGAGTCCTTTTCTTTTGTCGGTGAATGGCACTCGGTAGATTGTTGCATGATAGAACATGACCAAGGCAATCACATCTTCCGTTCCAAACAAAAAAGGTCAATAACCTGGACTATACGGTTGTTACCATAATAACTTGTGTGGCGATGTAGTGGACACCCTGCGGTGCCAGATTACATTATGTACATGTAGCTGCAATTGCAGGACAAAGTTGGAGCGTCTTGTCACCAAATATATATGAATGGTCAGAACAGTAGTTAACGTTCGTTAGGGTAGCTCATGTTGTATTTGGTTTTCAAATGCTACCTTTCTAAACTACGTATTTTACATGATGTGAATATCACCAGGCGAGACCATCACACCCCAGGAAACGGCTCGGGCCTTCGACACGTTCTTCCTGAAGGGACAGAGTACCACTAGCCGGAACCCTGGGAAGGAGCGAGACCTGCTCATCATTCTCGATGAGTCGGGAAGTATTGGACGTAAGTCTCTTTTGTACAGGCATTTATAAAGGTGTTTTTTTTTCTTGAAGAATATAAAAAACGCATACTGTTGTAGAGTGAAAGGCAGTAAAACGCAAATGATGATATTTGGAGCAGACAAATTTGAATTAAGACTTCAGAATGAATAGGCACAATACAGCGACAATTAATGGTAATTTGAACAGGACTCTACAAAGCCAGTGCAATAGGTAGCAGCTCACCTATCCTTAAGGTTGTCTGATACGTACTTCACATTCTTCTACAGTTGAAGTCTTCAACGACGCAAAGGAGGCACTGGCTAGACTGTTGGGCTACATTTGCCCCGGTATAGGCCCGTCCTATCCATACCACCAGGTATTAGACTTTCCAGTTTTATCTCAGACTAACGTATGCGAAGAGAAGCAAGAGGCATTTAATTTAATAGCATGCATGTTGACCAAAGCGTTTGAGAGCTGAGAAGGTCAAAATCAGTATTATTCAAAGAACTTTCAATTATATTCATCTCAGAGTTTTTTTATGTTGGCGTAGATCGCGTTCATGACGTTCAGCTCGTCCTACACAGAGCACTTTGACTTCAATGACTATGGGACTTACACGGGCGTGAGTAATGCGATTAGGCAGGTCACTTATTCAGGTAATGTTCTATTTTTATCCTAATTCTTCATATTTTATTGTACTAATAAGATAAAGGTTACTACGAATTTTCAAGCTAGCACTTACCGAAATTAAAACACTTGGGCAAGTCCTTTCAACGATATATCTATTATTTTATAGACCGTTTGGCGGTTCCAACTAAACGCCAATAACCCTTGTGAACATAATAACACAGCCTTCGAAACTCCCATCAAGCTGCATATCCTGTAAAGTGCCTAAAGCTATATTACAGATTAAAATAAATGACACTTAATCAATTTCGTAGATAATTATTCCGCAGTGTATTATTCTTAACATTTTTAAATTGCTATCAAAACCCAAGATGGCGGCACGAACACTCACAACGCTCTTGACTACGCCCGGACAACCATGTTTGCAAATGGCGACTTCAGCGTTTCTAGTTCTACCAAGGGTCTGAGGCCAGGTTCACTGAAGGAAGTGCTGCTGATCACTGATGGGCGGCCCAATAGCGACTCTCTGACAGAAGCAGCGGCTGAAAGGCTGCGAAACATTGGCGTTTCTGTGTTTGCTCTGGGTAAGTACCAGCTAATTAAGAAACTCTAGACTGTGTATTAAAGAAGAATAACATTCATCTTTCTCCTAATAACATGAAAAAGCTATTCATGCAGATGCTAAGAACATTTTGACCAGGTGTAGATCCGGAACTTAGATGGAGAACTCTCATAAACTTACTGATTTGTCGATCAAATGTCTATCTTTCAGGCATAGGCAACGTTATCCAAAGCCACATGGAGCAGCTTATTTCGGAACCAGAGTACAAGCACATCTTCCACCTCGACTCTTTTGCGGACTTCCACACCATGGTGGAGTCTGTGGAGTTGGTCTACAGTGGTGGTGAGAGATGCGTCAACCTCAACCCGTGGAGCCGCCGTAGAAACGCATGAGCTTTCCCTTCGGCCCAACAACGCTAACACAGGCATGGTAATCTCCAATTTGGGGTTGAATAAAGTATTGAAAGCTGAATTGATGAACTTCTGTCTCTTGTTTTCAACACGACTATATATTTCAGTCTCTTGGGCGAATTCCTTTCTACATGTATTATCATCAAGATCCATAACTAGGTAATGAAATCAAACATTTCGTATAATTAAACATTAATAAACAATCAAACATTGCTTCATAACCAGGCTTGTAACGTTCCATATATCTTCGTGTGCAATACTTGCTGATTATCATTCGTGCTTTAAAATGAAATACTAGTAATTCATGCTTGGAGAATGTAATTATTGTAATGATAAGATCATATTGACAGATAAACATGAAAGAGAACATCCACACACCACAAGATTCCAATTCCGCGAAGGGTGTGATCATTAAAAGGTTTATGAAACAAGTATTTTATCTATCAACAGGAACTTTTTACACCTCTAAATCTAAGGAAACTTCAAACTTCGATTAAAAATCCAGACCGAACACGTGTACGATATAATTGCTCAATATTGTCAATATTTAAACGCATTTCGACATAATATAGCGATTTATGTTAACCATATAGCAACCAATGTTTTCTGCCAATGCTATAAATGACAAAGAAATTAGCTGTTAGCTTTCATGCAACAAAGTATAACTGAACACTGAACTATAGGTCCTAAATATCTGTTATATCATGCGTTCTACCATAAACAATTCAATTATCAATAGTATAATAATCTGCAAATACTTAAATCTTTATGTCATTTGAATTTACCCTAAATGTATACTGTTCCACAAATTTCAACATCTTCATCAGAATGTGAAAATTTTAGACAAGTTGACTTGACAAATATTTGTTACACATGTGCTACTGCCTGTTAACTGGCGGCAGTACTTCCATGTTTTTCTCGGCCTTGACTACCACCACCATAGACGCAATTCTGCTGAGAAGTGGACCTCGCTTCTCCTCGTGTAAATCCTCCCAGGAACGCTTCAGGTAGTCCAGGATGGCCTCTTCTTGTGCCTTGGGCGGAGAGTTTGTGTCAACGTCGTCACTGCAGAGTAGAATCCAAAAGTTGACACCAATTAGAAATCAATATAAGAGATAGCAGGTCGATCATTTATGTAGATAAATAGCATCTTCCAAGACAGCATGAAGTTGTTTGTCAACACTAACACTAACTTACCCGGAAATACAGATCCACACTCAGTTATCTACGTCCTCAAATTATCATCTAATCGAAACCCGCATAGTATCCTACCTACGCCATCAAATCACCGCGCTTTATTGAAACGTTTGCCTGCCCTTTCAAATTTTAAATTTTGCAAAGACTACGAAAATCAGAAAGGACGCATTTGCCAGCTGCAGTTTAATTACATCTGGTCATTTTCTTATTGCATAATTGGCATTTGTGTAGTACTTTGAACCCGACTGAAACAAGATGTAAATCATTGTTCTACATGGTGGTTAAATTCATTTTTATTTCAGTGAATATGCAAGATGAAAATTGCTTGGGTAAAGCCTAAGTCAACCCTTTATCTCTTGCTATACTTAGAAGAGGAGGGCGCAAGGCAAGTAAGTATTGGTAATTGATAATGTATGAGAAGCTATCGCTGCTCACCTGCAGTGCACCGTCATGAAGTAGGCGACGTGTTTGAACTGTGCGTCGTCATGGTCGCAGTAGGAGTGGAAGATCATGGCCGCGGGGCCGGGCAGACTGTCGACTCTGGTGAAGACTGCGGACCGAACGTCTCCGAGGAAGGTGGAGTCCAGCGTGCGGTCGATGTGGAGTTTCGCTCGGTCGGCGTCAACACGGCTGAACTGGTGACTGTCGATCATCAGCGGCTTCTCTGAATAGACCTGATGGAAATTTGATAGACAGTATGGTTCATAGAATTATTCTTTTTCTAACCGTCTCTTTCGGTCCCATCCATAATTTATACACTTTCTAGTCAAGTTCATTTTACCATACAATTAGTATTTCAACAACGTTTGAAAACATGTCTAAATTTAGACTGGCAGATTGCTCTTTGTTGAAGATCCTCGTAGTTTTATGTGAGTATTGGCCAGTTATTGCGTAATTTGAAGAAATGAAAAGATGAATTAGAATGTAGTTTGACTGACACATCATGACATTAGTGACAAGAATATATGATGAAGTTAACATTGAAAATCAAAAGAATGTGTTTCATGGACTATACAGTGCAATCAATATTAATATCACCAGTAAGATAGTTCTAAAAGTTTTACATAAATCATAACATATATCAAGTGACCGTACCTTTGCCAGTGCTTCAGCGAGCACGTCGGCCGTCCGATGAGCGCCGGGCGGGGCACCGATGATGAGGACTGCCGGCCTCCTGGGCGGTCCGCCTGTCCGGTGCTCCGTCATGACAGCGTCGGCCGCCATCCACACCCGGTCCGACTGGGACACGAAAACCTTTCTGATGGCGTTTAGCGCTGTATGATGGTCATCTACAGGGCGACAACAGGTGAGGATGTTACAGTTGTGTTCTTATCTAACGTGCTGATGTACAAGATGTACAAGAGAGGTTGAATAAATCCTCTTTCCTAGACCTTGTCTTTCCTATATGAATTTCCATTTGTAGATATATATTACAATATCATGACAATTGACTAATCAAAGCACTATAGCTAGCATTACAATGGTTAAAATGCATGAATTGGTGTCCACCACGTACCTAACAACGGTACGATCACCACAACAGAGGTAAAGCAATAATCTGTAGCATCAATCGTGATAGGGATAAATTTGACTATGACAAGATGCATGCCTACCTGTTGACTGTGTTACCGTAGGCAGCAGCTGTAGGGTAGCCTCAGTCTGTACACGCAGGATGGTTTTCTTTCCGCAAGCTGGTAAGGTCACCGACGGTGTCGTACCGGGGGCGGTGATGACAATGGATCTTTGAACAAGCAAAGAGCTACAGAATGGCCCCAGGCTATCAATAATGTACATGGGCATGTTTTCTGCACTATTCAGAATGACGAGACTGTTAGACCGCCCACCTAATGTGGACATTACATCTTCAACCACCGATTCAGCGTGGGCTCTGTCCATGGATATAAACTGACTGGGGCTCAGAAGATAATGATCTGCAGAGATCAGCAAAGACAAGGTCAATGCGAATGCTTCTGCCGTTGATTGATCTGATGGGGTATCGACGACCAGAATGGAAATACCGTTAATTTCTTCATCGCCAAATTCCTGCTTTATAGTGTTCCACAGCACCGGTTTCTGATGATTAAACATTTCTATTAACCCCTTTATCTTCCCACTGGAGTCGATATCTGCAAGGACAGATGTGTCATTTTGCAAAACTGGTAAGCTGTCGTGGGTTGACACTGTCTGGTCCATTACGTTACCCTGGTGATGACAGTCAAAGTTCGTGGTTGTCTGAATTCTTATGCCTAGTTCAATGCCCAGCAAGAATGCAAAAATTACAGCACCAACACTAACTATGGTTATTGCTTTTATCCGTCGTTCTTGATGGTCCTCTTTCTCTTGCGAAATGGATGAACGAGTCTGGCTGGCGGATGTGTCATCAGACTTATCATATCTGAAAGCAACAATGACACGCTTGTAATCTGACCGATTTGCTTGTGACTTTGCATTAATTGTTTCAAATGGCCGTGTTTGTTGTCACAACATGCACAGAAAATGTATTAAAGATACAACTCACTGGTTTGGACCAAGTTCGCTACTCCGTGCACCAGAATCCGGCACCCTGCTGCCGTTCAGATCGTCGATGTCGTTAGAATCGATTCCCGGCTTTCCTTGATTATTACGAGACACACTATGTTAGAGCACTGGATTTGCTTATATGTATGTAATAGGGTCTTATTAATTCGACTGCTAATTGACCACAATAACTGGGACTTGAAATTTACCAAATCATTGCTAATGTTGCAAATTTAACGCTATAGTGACATTATAAGCCTACGATTAATGGCAGCGTGCGCACAGCTTGCCTACGCCGAGGATTAAAGTTTACTTAATGCTTGCTGGATGCATGGGCAGTTTAAAATTGACTAATATTTAATTAAAGCTGGTGGATCCTTCACGATTAGTCCACGGGCCACATTTCTACTGGAATCGCATCGTCTGTACCTCTACATTTATGCCATTCTATCATTGGTGGAAAGAAATAGTAAGAAAATATACATGGAAAACTGCTTTTCCTGGGAGAGAGGGCAGCCCCATCCAACGCAGGAAATCGAAGGCACTGAATTGAAGAAGTCAGTCCTCAGAACTGACGTTTCTTTGTTTTATGTTCCTTCTGGATTCTCTTTGTGCAAAGCCTTGGGAACCAACTGCAGTCAGACTTGCCTAGGCGCCGTCTGATAGATTGTTGTTTGGTTGCAGGTTTTACCGCGATGTGATTCCAGTAAGGCAGTGGGATTCCTGCATTATTGCTCTATTGAAACTGTGACAGTTTCAGCTTACCCTGCAAGGGCTGCATGCCCCTTTCCTTTGTAGTAGATCTCTGCTTGGTTAGTTCAATGGCAAGAGGTTGATGTTGAAAATCTTCCACATCGGAGGAGTTGGACGCAGTTTCTCTCACTTGCTTCTGATCTTGTTTCTTCTTTTGTGCCATTACTCCTGACTGCTTGTGCAGCTTGCCTCGTGCTGTCGATCCTGCTCCTCGCAGATGTGTCTCTACTACAAGACTTGGCTCGATATGCGTGGAACAATTAACATTTACTGACAGCTGCTGCATGGGTGAATGAGTCAGCTGCTCATAAATGCTCTGACCCCCTGGCATTGATCCCACTCCTACTGGTATGAGAGGCCTAGAAGAGATGGGTCTGATCTGGAAAGCGAAAGGAGAGAACGGAAAAGGACGGAAAGCAGTGGTGGCTTGCATTGTCGGCAGATGGATTGAGTGGTGACGATGAGAGTAATGCTCTTCTTCTTGTAAGATGGCTTGCAGCGTTCGTTGCTCCTGATGCAAATTATTCAGATCTTGGATATCTTCTTCTGAGGCTCTTTTCTCCGTTTCAACGTCGACGAAAGACTTTCTGATTTTATCTATTTCCATTTTGAGTTGCCTATTTTTCTCTTGCAGCCTCATCTTTTCCTCTCTAATAACACGGTTGTATTCTTGTTCTAAGGAGATGCTGGTTTGCTGCAGCTCAACCAATTCAATGTCTTCCGTTTCCTCATCTCTATTTTCTACAATTGACGCATTTTTTTCATGTGTAAAGCCAGTATCACCATGTATTATCTGGCCTATGTTTTTCACTACATATTTTCCTGCAGACTGAGCCGCCGTGTGTACAGAGTTTTTGGTATCTTTTCCTTGTGTCCCCTGACTCTCAACTGACTGAAAGAGTTGTCCTCTGTTTTCCCTGTTTCCTGTCGTGCTTTCAATCTCAATAAACCGACCAAGATTCTGTTTATTTCCTACAAAATTCGGGTCAAAATTCATGGTTGCAATGCTGCTAACCCGAATTGTCTTAGCGGAATGCTGGCCATCTTCCTCCGAATCTTTTTCTTTCGTACTTTCATGTTCCAACGACTGGACAGGTTGTTGTCTATCTTGCTCCTGTCTCCTTTTTCTCATGCTTACAGTTTCGACTAACTTTTTGTGTTGTTGGCTATGTTGCTCCGATGCATTTTCTTTAAATGTTTCACCCTTATCTAAGTTCAAGGGTTGCTGGCTTTCTTCCTCCTGTCTCATTTCTTTTCTGCTGCCACTCCAGACTTCATGTATAAGTTGTTGGATTCCATCACTCCAGACTACCTGTAGAGTAGGTTGTTGGCTTTCTTCTTCCCGACTACCTTCTTTCATTCTATCACTCTTGATTTCTTCTTCCGATCTCATTTCTTTCATTCCGTCAGTAGCAACTGTCTGTTCAGGTTCTCGGCTTTCTTCCAGTTGTTTCGTTTCTCTTATTCCGTCTCCCCAAGAGGCCGGTACAGGTCGTTGGCTTGCTTCCTCCACTTTTGTTTCTTTCATGTCAGCAGTTTCTACCACCTGTATAAGTCGGTGTGTTTCTTCCTGCTGTCTGTTTCCTTTCCTTCCATCACTCCAGAGTTCCTGCATAGGTTGTTGTGTTTCTTCCCCCTCTCTTTCTTTCCTGTCGTCACTCCAGAGTTCCTGCATAGGTCGTTGCCTTTCTTTCTGTTGTCTCATTTCTTCTTTTCTTCCATCACTAAAGAGTTCCTGCATAGGTTGTTGGCTTTCTTCCTGTTGTCTCATTTCTTCTTTTCTTCCATAACTCCAGAGTTTCTGCATAGATTGTTGGCTTTCTTCCTGTTGTCTCATTTCTTCTTTTCTTCCATCACTCCAGAGTTCCTGCATAGATTGTTGGCTTTCTTCCTGCTGTCTCGTTTCTTCCTTCCTGCCGTCACTCCAGACTGCCTCCGCAAGCTGTTGACTTTCTACCTCCGGTCTCGTGCCTTTTCTTTCGTCACTCCCGACTGCCTGTTTGGGGTCTTGGCTTCTGTCTTCTTGGCTCGCTTCCGTCATTCCATCAATCTTTATATCTTCCTCCGGTGTCGTTTCATTCTTTCTGTCAATCATGATTACCTGTTTGGATGGTTGACTTTCTTCCTTTGGACTTGTTTCTTTCAAAAGAAATTGATCAGGTGAGGTCATTTGTTTTCCTTAACTGTTTATGTCCCATGATATTTTCATCCCATGCATTGCCCCTGTCAAGCGCACGGTTTGCTTGTTGATCATTACGATGGTGTTGAAGTTCTGCTCAAAACGGTTTTTGTCAAAACAGTTTTTCTCCCTCATTGGTATCTCAGACAGCTTCTACGTTTTCTTTTTTGATAAGCAGTTTACAAGCAATAACTTATTTTCATGCCATTTGATGATTGTTTTAAGTTGGATAGCTCCAGTGTTGCCTTATCTTTTTACTTCAGATTCCATATGTGCCTAATTTCTATTAACCTAGATATAGATACAAATTAATAAAAGATTATTACCATCAATAATATGGTCACTCACTGTATATCTGTGGTATTCTGGCTTGCGTTATATATTATTTGACTAGATCACTGCGTTGGAAAGCAAACATATGTTTGTTTCTATGACTAGCCGGTAGGACATATACAGCCTGATGCTTTTAAAAATAATCCAGGCCTTCCATTCCCAAGAAAGCTTATCTGTATTGGCTGTTAGCATAGAACAGATCTCAAAGTTATCTACAGGCTAGGTACCAAACACAACGCCAAAATCAAAACACAATTTTGTCTGAATTGTATGAAAGCAATATTTTATGAATCATAACGAAACGTAGTATGTCATTGAGCGCCACTCTTTACGTACACATTGAAAAGGGCAGCGCCGCCACTTAACACACCAGGCAATGACAGACGTGCCTTAAAGACATCAAAAACAATAACTATGTACATGTATGTAGCAGTCGTCATATGTTGCCATATACATACGCTGTATCTGCTACAACTGTCGTGTCAAGTTATTCTTCTTTTTGTGCATTTTATAACCTTGATGTTTTACATTATATTTTACATTGTAAACCACTTCCTTTAATTTACTTCAAATTCAATCCAAGTAAGAGAATAATTTTTTTTGGCTTGTGTATTGGGTTCGTGCAAAATTACACATCTATTACTGTTTTTTTTTTTTATTTTCTGTAAAAAATATAGTCTTACCTGAAGTACTGTCATCATCCGAACTGTAAAAGCCCAGGTCGGAAGGATCTGCAGGAACAACTAATAAAAAGCAAGTAAAAAATAGAGTTAAGTGTAGCATTTTTTAAAAATCTTATCGACATAGATGATTGTTGTACCTGCTAAGTTAAGCTTGAAAAAACGAATGTTATAGTAATGTTTTTTTTCACACATCAGTGTTGGATCCATCCAGGAATAAGTAACCGTATTCCCTTACGTACTTGTTAAAAAAGCGACACAACCTTTATAAGATTAAAAGCAAGGAAAGAATGAAAGATTGAGAAATAGAATATGTTAAATTAAGTGTATATTTTTGTAAGTATATCACCGTAACACAATAGAGAATACTCACATGAAGCCGTGGTAGATTGCGAGATCTTTTTGCGCTTCGATGTTGGTCTCGTTCTCTTTGTTTTCTTGCCATCTTTGTTTGACGTTTTGTGACTAAACACGACCTGGCGATGATGACAAACAGACGTTTTTATTTATAGCTTCGCAGATGTAACAAATTATTTTCTGAATTTAGATCATATTAGCACGTCCCACTCCATTTACAAACACATTCCTTCTGATTTCTTGGTAGAAAAGAAACGTTTTTTTTAATGAAAACATTTAAAAAATCGATACCCAGCGCTACCCTCAATACAAGATGGTAGTTATTAATTTCAAATATGGGTGGACGTTATCACTCTACCTTATAATGAATATGCTTAACTTTATGCCTTATTTTTCACATTTAAATTTATTTTCTTCTTGGACACCTCTGACTGCATATTGTCGACTGGCATCGTTCTATACAAAAATGGAGTACTGTTACAAGGTATCTGGCAAATTCGATTATAATCTTCTCTGAATACAATTATCTACGCTAAAACCGTCCAAACTTCAAGTAGAGGAGAACCACTCGAGTACTGGAATCTATCACTACCAGTTGGTAAGGCACACGAAATGCTGAAAACAGCTTATGATATTTCCAACGCGATCATGGCGAAGCCGTATCCAGTTAAATACAGCCGTGTTGTAGCAACAGGCTCTTGTTTACCCTGCACCATTACATCAGACATGTGAAACCTGGTAAATACCAAGTCAGGGCGATCCTTTGTTGCACCTGTGGCGAATGTCAAAGGTTCTCTCTGGTGTTTTCGCATGAAAGGCCTTCGCTGTTTTGCCTAAACAAAAGGAATGTCTATTTCCCCATGACTTAATCTATAAGGCTTATTGGAGTTGAAAAGGCTGATGCAATATGAGAAGAAGCACAAACATCACGTCATGGTCTAAGAAGAAGTAAAGACTGATTTCTTTGTTCACGGATTGCCAAATGACTGCAGGCAACCAATGCCTCTGATAATATTTGATCATGTCAAACATTGTAGGTACTTTAATTATGATAATTATATATAAAACATGTGACTAAGATCGATAGGAAAAACTACTCACGGTGGGCTGGTGACGTGTGTTTCTGGTGCTATATCGCATTGGCCTATTACCACGAGAAGACGTTTCAGACGAACGTCCCGTTGTTCTCTTGTTGCTCTCTTCTTCGTCTGATTCTTGGTCACTAAACGTGATCAGGTTGGGAGTCCTCGCTTTTGCCATGCCGCCAGTCTAACAGGGTAATAACCAAACACATTGTACTCTTTGGACACTTCTGACTGCAAATAAGACATGTCACATGGCATACAAAACATTCGGTGTAATATTACAAGGAATTGGGTAAATTTGATTATGACATCTCTGAATTCTATTGTGTAGTATTGCGTGATTTAAGGTATACTGAATTAAATATTGTATTTCTTGTAGTGAATATCATTTGAGCAAATCAAAGGTGGCTTATGTTACCAATGAACTATATGTATTGTTGGGGTAGATGTGGAACACACTGTACATATTTCAATCCATACTTCTAAAGCAGTACCGGATATTCTTCTTCTGTCATTCGTATGGCTACAATCTGACGCTTGTGATCATTGTAGGTGCCAGTACTCCATGCTCAACAACGTCGATATTCTAATCGAACTGGTTCTATCTGCTTCTAAAAGTCCAGATAAGTGTTTACCACACATTGGACATGTACGGTATGCTTTCTAGAACACTTTAACCTTCAAGTAAACTTGGAAAGTGTTTTTAGGTTTCCTTGCTTTGAATAGAACTTGTGAATAAAGACATATAACGTCCTAATGTGTTTTGGAGAAAAATCTACTCACTTTGCCAACGGTTCCCACGGCGGGCTGGTAACTGGCACGGACCCTCACATTGGGCTTATCAACAAGGCACAAAAGAACAAACCATTCACTACTTATACAGGGGGGAATTGTTCCAACTGATAGCATTATACAACGATATACATTCTGTTGATCTGGTTTACATGCTGAATGCTCGTTATTATATTCACTTACGCAAGGATGACAAAGTATGACTGATAGATAAGACAACACTGTGTAAAAATGTGTAACACAAATCATCGAACATCCCTTTTACAGCCAGGTTGAGAGTCTAATGAAGGGTCACATGGGTCGGTGGGTTTGAAATATCTGGCCTTCTGGGAAGCCTGACATGAAAAAAAAAAATCTGACTGTATGCAAACGCACTGAGCGGTAGCATATCCCCCAACAAGTGTGTCGTAGTGAACGACCACGAACATTATGCCGCGGCCCGAAAGATGGTGGGAACGTGTTATTGTACTTGAAACACAAACTTTAATCATCCTACTTGCTGTGGTGGGTTTAGCGTGGTTAACGTATCAAGTAGAGTTTATAACAATTTTCAAGGCCTTCCTGTTGTGGAGTAATGGTTCAACGTTGAAGCAGGAGACGCCGCCTCCAGCACCTAAACCCTGCAACGGACAGTTCAAGCCAAACGTCACTGGTAAGAACAAATATTGTACAGCCACTTTGATTCACCGTTAATTGTAGCGTTAGGCATTGTCGGGAATTTCTTGGGGCCTAATTAGGTACTGTATCTCTTAGTTTATCAAACACTGATACAAAACTTTCATTTAATCGGTATCATATGTGTAACTTAGTGAATATTACTATTTGAATATGTGATAATAAACGATTTGATGTGATTTGATGTGTTTGTACATAAGTGTTTTATGCATTGTCGTGCAAAAACATTTATCGCTGTATTGAAGACCACAGTTACAACGGTGAATGTGGTTGACAACGACTGAAGCCTGATACGCTTCAACTACGTTAAAGCAACGCCTTCACAAAACCAGCCTAGGTTTGCCAGGTTAATCGTACAAATGACAAAGCAACAAATAAAACGTCGGTCACTTTATATTCGGGACCAAAAAGCAAACATTGGGCACAGTTTGTGAAATTGAAAGCCGTAATTTAGTAAGCCACTGTTGTTCCTGTTTCAGTGTATTGTCAGCTTTCTCTGATTGTCAAGTCAGAATCAGGTGATATGGTCAGCAAATAGGGCAAAGCATATGGACACCTTGAAGCTCGAGCTCAGTCAAAGTAGTCTTTTGTTTCTTTGATCGGACATTCCAGTATTTTCCTTTTCAATGCAAGGTCACACTTGAGAGCAAATACAACATATTTCACTCCATACAAAACAACTCATTTTACCAAATGAAGGAGGTGGAGAAGAAGATAAAAGACCAATAATATATCTTTTGCTCCCACACCCATGGAGTGAAATCTAATAGCCAATTGCAACAAACGTAAATGTTTATCCATGAGGTAAATGGATTATGTTCGCGCCCTCAATTCATCACGTGAATACCTTTTGTCAGTTGCAAACTTGGAGACTGTAATGTAGTTATGTATTCTATCCAATGAATTACTGACATATCGGTTACCAACTTTTACCACTGTCTTTAAAAGGTCGTTGCATGTCATGGAGCATATGGCATGGGGTCGTGCGACGTAACGGCAAAGAGAGAGTTTTTCTTCGCATGTACATTTGTATCTGTTTCCATTTTAATTTAAGTATTAAGTGGCAGTTAAAATAAGTGAATAACTTGATTGCAGCACCACTTTGTCTTTGTATTGTCTTTGTATTTCTAAGAGAAAGAAATTACTCTACTCTTTTAGATCTGTACTCGACAATTATATTGAAAATTACTGCTTGTGGAAAACATTGCCCCGTCTATTTTCGCAACTATAGAATTAGAACGCATCGTGTCAAGACGCCTACACGGTCAGCCACTTGTTCTGAACCTGGTGACCAGCTCGCTCCGTGACCACCTCAGCAGCCACGCCCCCTACAAGGCTCTTCTGCTGTCCTTCCACGGGCCTCCAGGGGTGGGAAAGAACTACATCAGCGGCATGATAGCCGGGGCTCTGTTCGAGGGTGGACTCCAGTCGCCGTATGTTCACTACTACTCGGCAACGCGACATTTCATGCACAAGGACGAGGAACACATAATGCAGTACAAGGTATTATCCCATACCATCATGAACGTTCATCTGTGTTGGTAGTTACATGTTTAAAGTTGAAACTTTGATCCAACACGGTACATTTTCGGGCGTAGCTTTCGACCAGTCACTTTGGTCTTCCTTGGTAACGTTAGACTTCCCTTCAACTCTAAGGTTACTCGTAGGGCGAGAAATACATGCGTTGGCATTTAGAGTTAATAAGTTAAGTAAAACATCAATGAATATACAAACCTGTCTAAATTCACATTCTCACTGAATTTTCTTACATAAGACTGTATCTGATGCGTGCCGATGTTTCTTCCGTCAGGACAAACTTCATCAAGAAATTCCAGAAAAGGTACAAAGCTGTGAGCATTCCTTGTTCATATTTGACGAGATGGACAAAATGGCACAGAATCTGATAGACACCATCAAGCCTTTCGTAGACGAAATCGCGCATGTGGATGAGATTGACTTCAGGAAAACTGTGTTCCTGTTTTTAAGGTAAGGAAATGTAAATAAGAATGGATTAAGTATAGATTTTCATTTAATTCATATTAATTCATATAATAAGAATATATATATATATATATATATATATATATATATATATATATATATATATATATATATATATATATATATATATATATATATATATATATATATATATATATATATAATATATTGAAATTATAACAAAGATATATTGTGACATATTGTGAATTATAACAAAGAAGGGGAGCTCACGTCTTTTCTGGCTGAAGAAACTGAAACATTCCGGACTCCCTGTTCAAGACCTTTGCGATTTCTACCAAGGATACATACGCCCGACCCTTGAATATGCGGCCCCAGTTTGGAATTCAAGTATCTCTGTACATCAAGTAATAAAAATCGAACTCAT